CTTAGGAGCAGGAAATGGTTGAGCAGGTAACCTGTTGTTAATTTGGGCCTGCAAATTACTCAACAAGGTATCCTGGGCTGTTTGCCTTTCTTGCATTAACTTCATATTCTGATCAACCAGGGAGAACTTGTCCTCCATTTTTTTCAAAATTACTTCCAGCATTTGGTGTGTTTTATCAACAGGACCAGGAGGGTTGTTTAGATTTGCAGAAAAATTGTTGTTGTTAGTACTTTGAAAACCTGGGGGACTTGGTCTGGGTCCATATCTCAGATTTGGATGATCCCTCCACCCTTCATTGTAGGAATTGGAGTAGGGATCATACCTCCTCTGTCCTTGATTGTTAAAAGCAGCTTTGACCTCACAATTTTGAAAATTTTTAGAGTGAAAACCAGGAGCAGAAAACATTTGATTTTGAAAACTGGGACACACTTCTGAAGTATGCCCTTCTAGACTACACACAGAGCAAACTGACTTCTTGATTCCCCCCACACTAACCATTTGACCCATAATTTTGGTAAGATTTGCAATCTGATCAGTGAGGGCTGCAAGAGATTCAGTTTCCTTTTTTGGTTCATTCATCCTAAGTCCAAATTGCTGTGTGTTCTGAGATATAAGATTGAACAAATTCCTAGCTTCCTCTGGGGTCTTAGTAACTAAAGCACCACCACTAGAAGCATCTACCATACTTCTATCCATTAGGGATAACCCTTCATAGAAGTATTGGATGAGCTGCTGTTCAGAGATTTGATGCTAAGGACAACTAGCACAGAGTTTATTGAATCTCTTCCAATATTCAGAAAATGATTCATTTCCCATTTGTTTTATCCCACAGATGTCCTTCCTAATAGATCCTATTCTAGAGGCAGGAAAGAACTCCTCTAAGAATGCCCTATGCAGTGATGGCCAGGTTGTAAAAGACCCAGGAGGCATATAGTACAGCCAATCTTTTGCTCTGTCCATCACTGAAAAGGGAAAGGCCCTAAGTCTGATTTGTTCTTGAGGAACTCCTTCAGGTTCCATGGCTGCACATGTTATGAGAAACTCATTTACATGTCTATAAGGGTCTTCACCAGGCAGGCCATGAAACTTGGGAAGCATATTCAAAAATCCAGAGTTTAATTTCAATGGTTTTTCCAAAACAGCATAAGTAATGGACATGGGCTGGGTCTCAAGGTCAGGTGCAGCTAGTTCCCTTAAAGTTGCCATGTTATTATGTGATTTGACAGGAGAAACAATTACCTCAGTTTCAGATTCTAATTTAGAATCAAAAGAAGTAGCAAACTCAGATATACTGACCTGATTCTCCAAATTTAAATCAACACTTACCCTTGTGGTCTCCAAACCACTTCTTAACTGCATCAAAAGACAGATACTGACACAACACTTAAAACAAGGGTTAGTGCCAACTCAACAGTGAATCACAGCAGAAAAGAAGAGTTTGCACTTTGGTGAATTTTTATCAGTGTATAATAGACACAGATGTTCACAAAAACAACTTATAAAGTCCTAATAAGACAGTTAGAAAAAATAGAAGAGATCAAATCTCCCCGGCAACGGCGCCAAAATTTGTTAGCCACTTGTCAGGTGACAACAAATTAACCTATTCCCCAATTACTACACACTTATAAAAATGGTAGCAAAGTGGTAAGTAGGGTCATTCTTCCACAGGGAGATTTGTCTTCTATTATTTCTTCTCTTGATTTATTGCTCAGTTTCCACAACACACACAC